CTCCCTGACTGCTGGGCCCAAGTCCCCTCCGCGGACAATCACATCCCTCCTGCGGCAGAACACTGAGCTCTGGAGGATTCTAACCCAGGCCAAGCTGGCGGGGGCGGGGGGCGGGGGGGGGCGGTCCACCCGTCATCAGAGCGGCAAGTGCCTTTCCCATCAAGGCCACTGCCCAGTGTGACTCACCTGCATGACCCTCTACCCAAAACACGCACACTCATGCACGCACATGGCTGTCCTCCACCTGCTTGCCTGGGAAGTGCCAGCATCTCGGAGGTACAGAGATGGGAAACCCAGGGCCTCCATCACAGGCTCCCGTGCTCGGGAGCTACAGAAGGACTCACAGAAGTTTCCAGATGTAGCTGCTTGTTGTAAATGGAAGTGGGGTGTGTGTATGGGCTAGGTGGACTGCTCAAATGTGACTGATCTACTCCCTTCCAGTCTATGTTCTGGAACTTTCTGGTCATTGGCCACCTTCTGAAACCTCCATCAAGGACTCTATATGATTGCAGATGGGGGACAGCAGGGCTAGGGTGCCCCCTCCGCTCTCAGAGAGTTTATCAGCATGAAATGAAAACACGTCACACCCGGGGTGGGGGGGTTAGGGGCTGCCACATCGTTCACCTTACAATATTAAGTCTCTGCTCAGATCCCCTGTTAATAGGATTCCTTTAGCCAGCAGATGGATTGCGAATACAGGCGGTTTCATCTACTAAAAGACAGCATAAATCACCATTGAGAAAAGGGAGGCTGCAGGCAGGTTATCACCACACAGCCTTCCCCGTGAAAGGCCCGCTTCGGAGCATTAGTGAAATTAATTCATCTTTCATAAGAGCTTGGAGCCGTCCCGTGATCTATGGTAACAACCAATTTCTCACTACGGGCAAGAGGAAAAAAATGCCTCGGCCCCGATCGACTACACAAATCTGCTTTTTAAAAATGGCCTCACATTATCTGGAGAGCTACTCCCAGAGGCAGCGTTTGGAATTCATGCCAAGCCAAAGGCACCCGTAAATCAACAGAGAAAGTTTTGTTAGTTTTATATGCAGCGGGCTGTAATTATTTGGAATTGCATTATGCCTCCATCGTGGTAATTACGTTTAGATTATCCTTAAGTGGTGGTAATAAAAGAAAGAGAAATCAGTCTTAAACCAATTCCCTCCTGCAAACGTGTTCCAGTAACGCTAAGGGAGCAGCCTGAAGGCACAGCAGGAGGCAGGAGCGGGCGCTGGATCCGCCACTCGCATGCCTTCCGGCCCATGGGCAGCCAGCGCGACCGCGACGGACACGCTGAGGCAGGCTTCCCGCCAACTGGCCCCTGGTACAGACTCACAGAGCGTGGTAAGAGGTTTGTGGAGCTTCCCAAACCTGAAAAAGACCACACTGCTGACAGATGCTGGAAGCCCTCGTGGTTTTTAAAGTGAGATTTCCCTTCTGCTAATTTACCAGGATGAAAAGAAAGATGAGCAACAACTCACTTCTGGAAACGCTCGTGGACTCGTTTGCATGGCCACACGGCGTCAGACCAAATGGATAGGACACAGAGACTATTTCTAACGTAGCAACGTCACACTGTATGGATTAAGGCTGGTGACCCCAGACAGGCCAGGCCCCCAGTATGGGGGTTCCCTCGACCCAGCAACATGCTGCTCACCAGCTGAGAGGGCGGGGTCCACCCAGAGACACCCAAGCTTTTCCTTCCAGACACATTTTCCCCTCTGCCCATGGGTGTGACAGTGTGGTCACCCTGGAGCCAGGTCTGCTGAGCCAGGAGCCAAGTTTCCCCCAAGGGGAGGGAGGCAGCCCCTCGCTTCTGCCTCCACAGAACCTCGCTTCTGCCAGCACTTCACAGGGGACAGCGCACCAGCTGCAGGCACCAAAGCAGAGGGGTCGTGCCCCAGCTCCTGGCAGGGCATCTGCCCTTTCTAAGGGGTGTGCTGGGAGGTGGGACACCACAGCAGAGGCCCCCAGACCTGGCCCCAACCCCCCTCCCATGCCAACCTCAGCCTGAGCTTCCTGGCCTCCTTGCCCCAGGCTGCCTGGGCTAGTGGAGTGAAGAGAGTTGTGGGGAGCCTGCAAATTTGCTGGGGCCTAGGGAGTGAGCGCTGGGGATGCCAGGCCTGGAGAAGAGCCTCCAGGCCAGGGGGAGCAGGGAGCCCCTCAGAAGGCGGCCCCCCATCCAGGGAGAGATGACAGCCAGAGCTGCCCGGGGGCTGGGGGGTCGGAATGCCCGAGGATCCTGCGCTGAGAAGTGGCTGCCGGACGTTCTTCCGGAGGAACCCGGAGGTGTCAAGGAAGCCTGACTCCCCACGGAGGCCGACCCACATTGGGTGCCCTGCCTCAGTCTCCTTCTTCTGCCCACTCAGAAAGACACAGTGCCCCTCACAGAGGCCTCTTTGGGGAGCATCATGGTTTGTCACTTACAGACCCTGGGAGCCACCAGTGAGCCCAGCTCTGAGGATGAAGGTGCAGTGAGAGGACACAGAATTATGGAACTACCCAAAAGGGAGGCAAGACCCCAGGGAGACAGGGTGAGTGCCGGGGGTGACGAGGGCCACACAGTGGTGCCTGTTGGGAGCTGGGCCATGAGGGCATGTCCTGGCCCTCGGGGAGCCCGCCTGTGTGTGGGAATGACATCCAGACCTGAGTGGCCTGGAGAAGCACGCACCTTGTGGGGATCAAGCTGAAGCAGGGCTGGCAGTGGGCTCATCTCTTTGCAAACAGTCTCCACAGGGGGCCGGGAAGAGCAGTGAGCTCATCTCCAGGGCATGGGGGGCCTGAAGCCTCAGGTGTTCTTCAGCCTGGAGGCTGCACCAGCCCAGTTGCTGCCTGACTTGTCTCACATGTGCAACAGGTCAGGACTCCATGCAGCAACTAAGGAGAGGCTGCAAGCAAAGACACTGCCTCCAACGCTCCCGCGGCCAGCCATCACACCGTGTGGGCCCATGTCCTGTGCTGCCTGCCTGCCATCATGGGATCTCTCAGCCCCACCCTGTCCGCCCAGCCCCTGCACTGACCCGGGTGTGGTGGCCTCATGGCCTCCCCGAGTCGGCCCTGCCTTCTCTCCCAGGTGCACGGCCCTTCGTGGTACCTGTGGTCCTCACTGCCCTGTGTGCCCTGCTCCTTGCTGAGGGCCCATTGCCGCCGCCCACTGTGGCTTCCCTCCTGACTGACCCCTACTAGCCTCCCGTCTACCAGGCACCGCCTCCTCTGGGGTACACTTCAGCCCACCCCCAAGTGGGCGTGCGTGTCCCTCCTGGGCTGGGCCTGGACCCCAGGATGAGGAGGGAAGAGCCAGAGATGACCTGAGTCTCCAGCCCAGTCACCCGTGGCCAGTGGTGCCTCTGGCCAAAACAGAGAGCGTGGAGAGGCGGGCCTGAGAGGGTCGGTGGGCTTCTCACCCAGCAGGTATGGGGTCATTGCGAGGAGAGCCCGAACATGCACAGCCCCATGGGTGTGGCACTTTCCTGCGGAGAAGATGCCAGAATATCAGAGCCTCTTCCCTGGCCAGTTCAGGGCTGTCCCCAAACCGGCCCAGTGAACCTGCTTAAACTTGCTCTCCTGCTGGGCAGGGGCAGTGTCCGGGACAGGCCGAGATGCCGGCCTCAGCTCTAACTGGGCCCTGAAACTGACTTCTCGGCCCTCGGCATCTCCCAGGAAACTACAGCCCTGTCCTCCTGACGGGACAGAGCCACAGGCCAATGTTCCGGGAGGGTCACCAGGATGCAGTGACCCAGCTGTGCTCATGGAGGGCCGAGAACTGAGGCTTCCAGAGCCTCCCGGCCACGTCCACCCCCAACCTCAGGAGTAGCAGGGGACAGCGGAGGGCAGCAGGCCAGCCCCCTGACACCGTGTCCTTGGCTGGGGACAATGGATGAGGACGCCTCGCCCCAATGTGACAAGAGCACCCATCCTTCATGGAGGCGGCCACAATCCCTTCTCTCCAGGCTCGGGTCATAAAGCAAGTTAATAAAGTTGTGGCCTTGCTGGAAGTCAGCTCTGCGGGCAGGCGGGGCCTCTCCACCGCACAGCAGTACTCCAGCAGAAGAGGCTCAGCGGAGCCATCCTTCTTGCAGTTGAGCAGACGGCCTGTCATGGGAGGTGGGCTGCGCGGGTGCGTAAACGCGGCTGTCAGAGGCAGACGCCCAGGTTTGCAGTCTCAACAGCCAAGTGCTTCAATCACAGTATCACACCCTACCGTGATTTAACAGACAACAAAAGGGCAGGGCGACCACACCGGATCAACATGTGATCACACAGGATCAGGAGACTCCAAAGATGCTGGTTATAATGTTTACTAAAAATACCAGAATCCAGAATTGTGTGGGCAGTATAATGGCTACATAAAAACAACTATAAAAAATGCACTAAAACCCAAAGGAACTATATCAACGTTTTCTGATTAATTGTGTCTGAGCAGTGGGTAATAAATGATCCCTACTCTTTCCTTAATTTCTGATCTCTGTAGGAAGCAGACACTCCTGCTGGCACATGGGGTGGGCGGCACCCAGTTCCAGGTTTGAGGCTCAAGGCTTTATCTGTGAAACAGCTGGAGCGCCCACTCAAGCACTCTGGGAACATGAAGAAACCGCAGCTGCCACAGCCCCGGCGCATCTCCCCTGCTGGGTTGGGGACCATCACTGGCCGGATGGACACTCACACCTGAGTCTGCTGGGAGGTCCCCGGAGCTCCAGGCCCCAAGTGAACTGATCATTGTGTTCCTACATCTTTTGGGGAAGGTCCCTTTGCCTGAACACGATAATGAGAAAATTTACTGATTGACGTAATGACAGACAGAGACTCTCTCGGCCCTCACCTAGACAGCCCGCATGAACCGCGGAGGCTTTAGGACCTCCAGAAAGACAGAATACTGGAGCGTGACGCAGTCAGATGCGACCCCACCCTGAAGTACGAGGATTTCACATCCAAATTTCACTTCTGACGTGACCCCTCTGAAAGCGGGTGCATTAGTGAGAATGGCCGCAGGCTCCTGGGCGTACCTCGGGGAAATAGTCCTGCGGAAACTTCTCTTTTTCGAGCATGGGTGTGCTCTCCAACGTGTCCGAGTAGATCTCTTTGCCAGTGACCTTTTTATACTTCTTAGCTGGAAAAGAAAGGAAGGAGGACATGAATAACTTCGTCACTCGCTCCCTCCAACCAGCTGATGCCGCTGGGTCCCACCAGAGCAGCCCCCTAGGCAGAGGGAGGCCCCAGGAGGAGAACCTGACTCGGGGTGCCAACAGGCAGGCCAGCTGCTCTGGGGATGCCTGTGGCTCGTAAATTCCAGTTCCAGGACCTGGAATCTGACACTCCACTTCATTATCCCCTAAGGGCTTCCAGCCTGCAGATTTACAGGCTAATTGGCATCCTCTGTTAAAACCGTGAATATATTTAAGAGGGCTGCAGAATTACCGTTCACTCATACCCTAATATGAATTTATTTAATAACATCGATTTCCTCCTCACATCCAGCCAACATCACTCATGTCCAGGGAAGAGGAGTTTTTATGTGAGACGGAGAGAGCAAGCACTCTGGACTCGCGCCCCAGCTGTCTGCCCATCACCTCGCTGGACGTGGCCCCGGGGCTCCAGTGCCCAGGCTGGGGCCACCTCCCTGTCACTGGGCTGAGCCCCCACAGACAGGGCTTGGTCTAGTTTTCTTCTACAGCCAGTCCTGGGAGTGTTTCTCTTCCCCGCGCCCGTGGTGGGGTCTAATGAACCAATGCATAAATCTATTCTTCAAACGCTCGGGGGCCCATGTGGGCGGAGGGCTGCCTGCCTCCTCACAGGACGCTGTGCAGGGAGCTCACAGCACACAGGCCTGCCGAGACTGCTACAGGGAGACCCTGGCCCAGATGGCTGATGGCCTGTTCCCACCGCTGCCAGCCCCACATTGCATGTTCCCCTGCTCCTGGGTCAGGGGTGCCTGATCCCAGGGTGAAGTTCCTGGGGTGTTAGGAGGTTCTTGGGGACTGGCTTTGGAACAAATGATGAGTTGTGCATCAGAGTTTCTGCAGCGGGGGGTCATGCTCCACGTCCCACGAGCAGCCTGTATCAGCGTTTCCGGTGCACCATCCACCCCATGGACCCATAACCACAGGCAGAGCAGGCAGGAGACCGGCTGGCAGCCTCCCGGGAAGGACACCAGGCCCCTCCCACCATTTGTTCGGTGGAGAGCGATCGGCAGGCAAAACCACAGTGCTGGAGGGTGAGGACCTGGAGATGAGTGAGGAGCGCCAGCGTGGCCTGGGCCCAGCCACAGGACACAGAACAGGACGCTCTGGGATTCAGGGAACACAGAACAGGGCACAAGAATGGAGCTGTGCACTCACTGGACCCCTGCTCCTCGGATCTTGCTCCCAAACCATGGAGACGAGTCACACACAACAGGTGCGTCTGGTTCTGAGGCCGGTCCCTCAGACGCCCTCACCAATCTCTATCGCCTCCGAGGGCCCAGGGGGAAGGTGGTGCTGCCCCAGGCGGGTGGGCACCGGCTTGCATAAATGAACGAGTGACTACCACGCCGGGATCCCATTCAAAACACCCATTTGTGACTGGAAATGGCGCAGAAGTGTGTTTAATCACGGGAAGCACTTACTGTAACCACCCATCCATCTCTGCAGAAGGACAGCATTTATCAAACATCACCCCACAGCCGCCTTCACACTGAGGAGGTCAGAGAGGGAGTGCCACCTGAGAAGGCCGTTGGCACAACTGCCACCACGGGCCCGTCACGGCCGTGTCCTCCTTCACGAGGCGGACGGACAGCTCACACAGGACAGGGAGCTCACCTCCTGGGAGAGCAGGCCTGCCCCGGCACAAACGGCCACTTGCTCACCCCTTCAATGATGTGGCGATTCCCACGTGGATTCAGCCTGCAGTGCGGGCTCCCAGACTGGCCTCACCCCAATTCCTTCGCACCCACCCCCAGTCTTCTCCAGCTCCCCTCCTCGCTGCTGAGTCCCTGCAAACGTCCTGCTCAAACGTCCCCCTGCAGAGTGGTGTTTCCCTTCTGGGCTCTTCCTGCACCAGTTGGTACCAGGACGTCTCCTGAGCACCGTGGGGCCACAGCCAGGAGCTGAGGACGTGGACAGGAGGCATGGCCACAACCTCCCAGGAGCAGTGAGGACATGGACATGGAACGCAGACACGCAACATACAGATGGACACGAGTGAGGACACAGGACTCAGTCTGGACCTCCAGGGGCACAGGACTAGGGATGGTCTCATCTGGGACAATCTGTGCTGAACCCATAGCATGGGAACACTCCATGAGTGTGGCCGCTAGGAGAGGCCTGGGCCGGGTCTTGATGGAGGAGCCTGGACCAGGCCGGAAGGAGGAAGGAGAACACCTCAGATGGAAGGAAGCCCTGTGGCCAGAGTGTGGAGAAGCCCGAGGGCATGTCCTCTTGGGTGACTGCCCAGGGGAAATGAGCACCTTCAGCAAGAAAGGGGAAGAAGCCCAGAGCCCCCAAGGCAGGGCTGAGCCAGCGGCCTGTTTAGAGGAGTGAGGGGTTGCCCAGGCCCCAGGGGCATCTGTGGAGGGCGAGGGCCAGACGCAGCTCCAGCCCCCCGCAGTGGCTCTGACCTCTGCTCAGTTCTAAGGGGTGCCTCGCAGCCCCCCTCCCCGCCCAGCTCAGCCAGTGACTGGAAGGCGCAGGATCACACACCTACTGCTGTCACCACTCTGGGAGGGGTGGCAGATGTGGCTGACCTCCTGCATGGGGAAGCGCAAGCCGTGGCACCGCTCACACCGCTGAGCAAACGTGGGGCACTCTGCACAGCAAGTTATTTGTCACAAACGAGAGAGTGCCCACACACACCCTCCTTTTTCCAGAGGCCCCCTGCAACTAACAGCCATGGCAAGCCTTGAGTTTCACCTGCACCTAAGAATAAAGAAAAACACTCTTTCTAAACCTCTGCTCTGGCTCCTCGTAGCAAAGTCTAGATCATCACAACAACCTGCCAGGGGGCTCCGGCTCATGAGCTACAGAAGGGTGGATGCTCCCAAAACAGACAGCCCCGGGGCAGACATCCAGAGGGCAGACGCCCCCAGGATGGATACCCCCCAGGACGACATCCACAGGGCAGATGCCCCCAGGATGGACACCCCCAGGACAGACATCCACAGGGCAGACGCCCCCAGGATGGATAGCCCCAGGACAGACATCCACAGGGCAGATGCCCCCAGGATGGACACCCCCAGGACAGACATCCACAGGACAGACACCCCAAGGATGGGTGCCCACAGCCCTCAACGAGCCAGGCTTGTGTAGGTGCAGAGAGACCAGCAGAGCGTTATTACGGGACAGCAGTGGCTGCAGAGCAGGGCCTGCTGTGTTCCTGTAAACGAAGAGTGGGGCGGAGAGACTGCTGCAGGAAGGTGACCTGCTTGGAGGAAAACCCGTCCACCCTGAGCAAAGAGGACAGGACCAGGGGAGGGTGCCACCTTGCTTACTGCAAATAGTTTTTGGAGAGGAGGCCTCTGTTCTTTGTTAAAAAGTAGACTTTATTTTCCAGAGGAGTTTTGGAATTACAGAAAATTGAGCAGAAAGCACAGAGCTGCATTACCCCACCCTTCCCGACAGTCTCCCGTCACTGACGTCTTGCATCAGTGTGGCACACTGATAATCAACGAGACAATAGTGATACACCATCAGTCACTAAAGTTGATACTTTACATCAGGGTTCACTGTTGCTCTCGTATATTCTACAGGTTTTGACAAATGCTCAATGACATGGGTCCACCATTGCAGGATCACACAGCACAGTTTCCCTGCCCTCAAATCCTCTGTGCTGCCCCCAACCTCTGTCAACCACTGATCTTTTTATTGTCGCTACTGTTTTACATTTCCCCAAATGTCATATTGTTGGCAACATATTACATGCAGCCTTTTCCGACTGGCTTCTTTCACTGAGCAATATACACTGGAGCTTCTTCCATGTCTTTTTGCAGCTTTATAGCTCATTTCGTTTTACTGCTGAATAATATTCCATTGAATGGATGTACCACAGCTTGTTTATTCATCCACCTATGAAAGACAGATTCTGGTTGCTTCTAGTTTTTGGTAATTATGAATAAAAGATACTATAAACATTTCTGTACAAGTTTTTGTGTGGACATAAGTTTTCAACTCATTTGGGTAAATACCAAAGGATGTGATTGCTGGATTATATGGTAAGAATGTGTATGTTTAGCTTTGTAAGAAACCACCAAATCATCTTCCAAAGCGGCTGCACCATTTTGCATTCCCACCAGCAACGAATGAGAGTTTCTGTTGCTCCGCATCCTCCCCAGCATTTGGTGCTGTCAATTTTTCAGATTTTGGCCATTTTAATGGGTGTGCAGTGGTATCTCATTGTTGTTTCAATTCGCAATTCCCTAATGACATATGATGTTGAGCATCTTTTCATATGTTTAGTTGCCATGTGTATATCTTTTTGGGTGAGGTGTGTGTTTAAATCATCGGCTCACTTGTTAATTGGGTTTTCTTATTGTTGAGTTTTAAGAGTTCTTTGTGATTTTGGATGACAGTCCTTTATCAGATGTCTTTTGCAAATATTTTCTCCCAGTCTGCGGCTTATCTTTTCATTCTCTTAACAGTGTCTTTTGTAGAGCATAAGTTTTTAATTTTAACAATGTCCAACTTACCAGTTTTTTCTTTCACAGATTATGCTTTTTGTGTTGTATCTAAAAAGTCAACACTAAACCCAGGGGCACCTACATTTTCTCCTATGTTATCTTCTAGGAGTTTTATGTTTTACATTTAGATCCATGATTCATTTTTAGTTAATTTTTGTGAATGGTGGATACAAAAAGAAAAAAAAGGAAGATTGACAGCAGATGTTAGCTAAAGGCAAATCTTCCTCAGCAAAGAAAAAAAAAGATCAGTTGGCTTTATGGGAGTCTACTTCTGGGATCTCTCTTCCATTTCACTGATCTATTTGTCTGTTCTTCCACCAATACCATACTGTCTTGATTACTGAAGCTTCTTAGTCAAGTCTTGAAGTCAGGTGGTGTCAGTCATCCAGCTTTTTTCTTCTTCTATATTGAGTGGCTATTCTTGGTCTTTTGCCTCTCTATATAAACTTTAGAATCATTTT